AGTAACTAAGACATCAATTATGCCATCTTTTGGTAAGATGAAGGTCTCTACTTTCCAGATCCATTTAGAGAGCATCAGGTTTCTACTTGGTCTATAATTCTCAACACTATAAAGGCAAATCATCATTACAATGGCAGTCCAGAGGAACATATCTCATCCAGAAAACAGAATCCACCTGAAATGGCCAATCTGGCTTTGTAGTGTAACATAGCTCATACTAGTAGATGCTGGTAAATGTAGACGTCCTCTGCCAGGGAGTTATAAACCTCTGCCTACAAGCCAAACCCATCTACTTGTTTTTAAGCATGAGATCCCATTGGAACAGTTATAGCACACTTCCATATTATCTACAGCTGCTTTCACATGGCAGAAACGGCTGAAAGTTGTGGCACAGTATGTTGACCCACACAAAAAGGTTGCCAATCCACCCTTTACGTCGGCCCACAAGCCTTTTCCAAGAATCATCCTCAAAGTATACCCAAACAAACTGCTGCTAACTCACATAGGCTCTGGAGTCCTCTGGCACTAAGACACAGAGATATAAAACTTCAAGCCTCTCATATAAATAGCATCACCAACAAGGCAAAGACTATAGACGTTACCCTTCTCCACCAGAGCCCCACCATATTAATAAATCAAGTTAATCCTAAAAGGTTGCCTTTTAAACACACTTAAGCATGTCTTCATTCATGTAAGAAATGGGGTAAGTCGCAGAAAGACTCCTAGATAGCAGATATTCCAATCCCTATCTACTCACCCTAAAATAATGGCAAACTCACATCCTTGTTTAAAAATATCTATTCCAAGAGATTTCTGCCAACTGGATACTCTCTTAAGAAGCCAAAGAAGCTTTGGAAAGCACTGAATTCAAACAAAGGAACATAATGATTATGTATTTTTATTCACAATCTTTTATCCTTATCAAAGCCAATACCAAAAGCTAACCATAAAGATGCCTAAATAGTCTTTTTTATTCGTATTGTTGTTGCTGTTGTTGTTGTCTTGTTGTTTTTTCCAAGTCAAGGTTTAGTTGTGTAGCCTTGGCTTTCCTGGAACTCACTGTGTAGACTAAGCTGGCCTTGAACTCAGAACCACCTGTCTCAGACCACTGAGTGCTGGGATTAAAGGCATGTGCCATTATTATCTAACTTGGGGGGGGGGGTGTATATTCCTAAATACTAAATTGCTTTTAATTTTAAGTTTATACTAAAAAAGTATTCCTAACACTCTGTGCCAAAACAGGGATGTTCCCCCACCATAGGGACACAAAGATGCACATCTCTGAAGTAGGAGAAATAGCCTTTCCTTTCATCAATTTTTAGACCCACTTCATTAGTATTAAGACCAATCTTAAGATTATAATAATGCAAAGAAACTATAAAAATCTTCCATTTTATTTATAAGTTCCCTAACAAGGTCCCATGTTTTCTGAACGTATCTATCTGGGGATCTAAATGTGCTATTGAAAACCTGTAACTACTTCTAAAACAGAATCCCATGACACGGGGCTGAGAAGCCGATATGTCAACACTGCCCCTCTTCCTAGCTGTCATTCCCATTCACTTCTGAGGCCTGTCTCTGGAGAGTGTCTCTCCTTTTTATGCCTGTACTTACAACAACACAAAGCTGCTCCAGGCTCCAAAATTTAAAACTCATTTTCAGCTCTTAACTTCATATCAGTAATCTCAGAAACCTAAAGTCTTAAAACTTACTCCTATCTGCCTACACTATCAGCATATTAGCTAAACTATTTTACAGTCTTGAAAGCTTCATGGGGCGGATCCTGAGGATGTAGCTCAGTTGGTAAAGTACCTACCTAGCCTGCACAAAGCCCTAGGCTCCATCCCCAGCACTGCAAAACAAGAAATGGCAGCACACACCAGTACATTTAGCATTCAGGAAGTCCAAGCAGGGTGGTTACAAGTTAAAACGTACACAACAAGTTGAAGGTCAGTCTGGCACAAGAAACACAGCCAAAAGAGGAGAAAGAAAGTGAAGAGTTTTAAAAAGAGTGGGAAGAAAAGAACAACAATGAGTTAACACGTGAACTATATAGATACCCAGCTCTTAACCCCAAATTTAACATCCGAAGCAAAGTCTGCTTTCCCATTTCTGATTTGCTCATGAGAAACTAGAATCATGCTCAAAAACATTCAAAACATTTCCTTTTCATGTCTCCTTCTGTGCTGCCCCCTAGATGACCATAGTATAAAAATGTTAGACTCCTAATGAAACAAAATCCTAAAGCCAGCATAATGTCTGCCCTAAAATATAATTTCTCCCAATCACCTGAAACTACTTTCTTTGGAACACTGTTTTCAAATTCTTAAACAAGCATAAACTGACCTTATCCTAGTCAAGAACCTCCCTCTCTCAGGAGGTATTCCTACCAAGCTAACTTCCTAATTAGATCTCATCTTTTACATATTCTGACTCTAAGTCGTTAACATTTTGTTTGTGTATGTTCTTTTCTTCCTGAAAGAGCCTTTCCAAGATTTGGCTCAGACACTCCAATTATTCCTGGGTCATCCAAAACCAGTATTTCCCTAATAAAAATGTGTAATGGCATTCCCTGACATACAGTAACCTTAAGAGTAATAATGGTAATATATGTCCCCTTTCCCACACTTTTAAGAAATGTATTTGTTTTTACACTACTACCATACTACTACTACTACAATAACTGTACTACTACAATAACTGTACTACTACAATA